CTTTTTTTGTGAAACTATTGATGTGCTAAATTCGGTCGTCACCATACTTAATCCCAAATATATTTCTATGAACGTTATTCTTGAGATATTGGACTATATACTTGAGTTGAAGATCATTTTTGTGATTTGATGAGATACTTGAACAATAAGGTTCTTGAGGTTTATTGAATTGTTATTATCTTGAAAGTTGTGATTGATGTTCATTTGGAATATTCTCTTAATCACTCTCCTTGATGTTACTCTTGCTTCCCACATTGCTTGTTATTGATATACTTGTGTTTGGTGAGGAAGAGTTTAAACAACAAAAGGTGATGTCATGCCATTTGAGTAAAGCACGAAGAGTGATGTCGTACCATTCCATTTACATTATCATGTGAGGATGAGAGTAAAAGCACGATGGGTGATGTCGTTCCATTGTTTTTATATTATCATGTGTTCATGGCACGAAGGGTGTTTCTGTGCAGGCGAGGACGAGAGACATGTATTATATTGTGATATCTTTTCCTTGTGTATACAATCATGCATTTATCTCTAGTTGTTACTTTTGCACCTATATTTTCTATGTGACTTATCGTTGTTGTTGTGTCTTTGTCCTCTACTGCAATTGTTGTTATATTATCCATGCCTTCTATCTATTAACTTGTAAATATCATGCTTTCCTTCTTGTTTGTCATATATACATCTATGCCGTTTCTTATTTGTTGCACTTTCGTATAAGCCTTCTACTATGTTAGTTATTCATGCCTTCTATTTTTTTAGCTTTTAAAGATCATGCTTTCCATCTTGCTTGTTATATATACATCTAAGCCTTTTACCATGCTAGTTAGTGAAATTTATGATCTTATATCTTAACTGCTATCATTATTTCTATGCCTTACAAAGATCATTCTTTCCATCTTGCTTGTCTTGAGTACATTTCCCCCGCTACGAAAGTTATGGATTTACTACCTTAGGTTCGATGGCCATCGTGTTAAGGAAATGATTAGTTGTGATATGAGGAATATTGACCGTAATTTCTTCTAATGATTCTTTTACTGCTTTGCATAGTTTCTCTTGTACTCTTCTCTGTTGTATTTTACTATTATTTCTATTGCTAGTCTACTACACATGCTATATCAGTGAGTATCTTTTAACTAAAAAGCCTCGTCACTACTTCACCGAGGTTAGTCAAGATACTTACTGGATACATGGGGTCGGTTGTAATCATACTACAGTTCTGCACCTTGCGTGCAGATTTTGGAGCTGGAGTTGCGGTGTATGGCGGGAGCTGGCATCGAAGATGTACTTGCATTCCGACTATAAGTGTCGCTTGTACTTGGTAGCTTTAGATTTTGCGAATCTGTTTATGTAAATTTCGAATAGATGATGTATCTATTTCGTACTAACATTTATAAATTCTAAGTCTTAGAAACTCATAATTTGTACTATCGGTCCTTGGGTTATTGTATAAAAGTTCAGATAATTCTTCACTGATTTCTTATTAATCTCATTCAGATTGTGTTGACTGCTAGTTGGCTTGCCTAGCGTGTTGGGTTAGGTGCCATCATGACTAGTGGATTTTGAATCGTGACAGGGCAAGGGCATTTTGCAACACCCTACTGGCCTCATCGGGGTCATCTATGGAATCAACATCGGGGCAGACGACTGAACCCCTTGGAAGCCTGGTATAAGACAAAAATAGAGTTAGCAACTTATTCATGAAATTCCTCGTGTTCAAACAAGGATGGAAGGAATAAGGACTTTGTCTTACCATGATTTTTAGATCTCCACCCGTATTTGGGAGCCATTTCTTTCCACAGGTGAGATTACGGAATCATTAAATCTAGAATTATTTGGACTCATCAGTCCAAACCGTGAATACGCGGTGGTTCCCAGCAGGTAGCTGAAATGAAGGAATCAAAAAGGGAAAAATCAGTAAAATAGGAAATTATCTTTTTACGAAGAAAGGAACCAAACAACCGAAGACTAACAGAAAAGATTCCACGACTCGAGAAAAGCTGGAGTTGTGGTCGGGATGATATCCCTGGTAGTAATAACGACGAACCGTTCCATCCATCCAGGGTCATTGTCATCGTCTTCACTGGTGAGAAGGGCGTGGTAACCACGCTTACTGAAGTTTAATACTTCCCTATGAAAAATCTTGGGGGCGTAAAGGTTCGTCATTTTTGCAAGAGTCATGGTTTCTCCTGTCTCAGTGCACAATTGACAAAGGCAGACCACTGTGCGCCATATCGATGGGCCTACTTGTGCCAAGCAGACCTGGTACCGATGGAAAAATTCCAAAATTCTGGGTTCAAGTCCATCGCCTGACCCCAAAGAGAAGGGACCCAAAGTAAAAGGATATGTATAGACATACATAACCCCCTATTTGGATTAGGTAACTCACTCTACCATATCTTGGGCGAGGATTTTAATATTGGTGCAGTTGCAGTCCTCCTTCACAGTGGGGATACTAGAAGGACGAATGGAGGAGGGATACATGCGAACTGGCCAAAACCTGCTACTTTGAGAGTTTGCAGTTTGTTCTTGGATATCAGATGCAGTGCGGAGATGCAGAGGTATAATGGTGTTAATAGTTGGAGGATCAGACTCAACGTCAACCTCTTTGGATTTGTTTTTCTTCGGCCCTCCACCGAAGAGAAGACCAATGTTTTCGAAGGAAGTAATGTAAGAAGTCGTGGTGGTAAAAGGTTAGTAAAAGAAAAGTTCTTGCTAAGGAAGTTGAAGGATTTGAAGGAGTTCTAAGCAAATGCAGAGAAAGAGAAAGATTTATGAAAGTAGTGGAAGTGAAGAAGTAAAAATGATGAGTAGCAAAGAAGTTATAGATGGTAAAAAATCATGGTCATGATTATCTTGAAAACCGACGAAATTATTTGTTGAATCACGGGGAAACACGTGTTCGGGGTATTAAATGCGAGAAGACGTGCGTCCTTTCAAGTGTCAGAGGCTATTCAGGAACTTTCCCGCCAAGAAAAGAATCTTCATCTACTTCCCGGTAGCACTAAGTTACGTCACCGAAAAGTAGGGGGACTACCTTTATGGGATAAAATGGTTGATAACAGGTGGTCGAATGCTAAAGTGACATGGGGAACTGAAGATAGACAAAAGATGAGTCGGGAAATTACAACTAATACCGGACGCAACGTGTGTGACCGGTACCAGACGTATTCCGAAGGAAACATAGTCGGTGATAGAAGTTCAAAGGTTCGACATCACATAACATTCAATGAGTAGCCGTTACAGGGAATATTTGCTAGCATTCAATGAGCAGCCGTTACAGAGAATATTTGCATTCAAAATATGTCGTTATATACTCATCAATGACACTTTCATTCTCACTTAAGAGGAGTTTGATCCTAGGGTCTTGTCTCCCTATGTAGAGTTATAAATAGCAGGGTTAACAACTATTGTTGGGAGGATGAAACATTCTTTACACAAAAGTTGTACTTTACTATTTTGCTCTCAATCTAACGGTTTTATCATCGCTTTTTTATCGCTTTATCATTACTTTCACTTCTGCTCTCGGAAGGGCCGAATTCAGAACCAGGCTTGTTATTGTCTTTAATTTCAGTCGTTAAATTTTTATCTTTTTGTTCTATTTCTTTATCATTTTTGAATCAAATCGATTCGCTTGTCTATAAATCACGTTACAAATTCAACTGTAGTATTTTACGGATAAACATCAGTATTTGTTTTCCACTCACGGAAAATACCTGATGGATAATTTTGACTTTCACCACATTAATAATATACTATTAATAGGAGTAATAATTATAATCGGGCACATGTTGGTTAACTGGGAGCCCATCATCTTCCAGCAGTCTTTGAAGTTCTACAGTTCTACCTACCTGTTTCCAAATACCTTCCTACCTCTATACCATGTGTAATGTAAGATGAAAATTATCCTTCTCAATTAATTGTGCTTGACATTTAGTAAGGTCTAGACAATGCAATAATCATTGAGTCAACCATATCAAGTATATAACCCCATGAGTGGTGGTAAGTCAGTTGAATTTAGTGTTTCACTTGTTTCTCTTGATAATAGCAAAGACATGTCAGGTCTACAGGGTGGCATGTTACACATAAATCTTATTTCTCCTTGTCCTGGAATTTTATTGCCTGTTAGGACCAACAAGTCCTAATATGCTTTACAAATTTTATAGAAGTCCTAAAACTAATCTAATAGTATTTGGTTTCATTTACCTTGATTTTATATTATCTAGTTAAATTGGGATTATATTCCTATAGTATGACATTTACATTAGCTTAACTATATAAATGAAAAAGAAACATTTAATAAAATTAATGGTTGTATTTATTACAAACGGGACACTGATCAATTAGCGAGAAGACTATTATTTATTTATTAATTTCTACTTTTTTTTTCTCCGTCTTTTGGGTCGGGTGGGACTCTGAATATTGTAGCAGACGGGGAAGAGCCAAGAGGGAGAGAATTCTTGGTAAGATTATCGTCCTAGATCTAGGTGATGCCGGTGAAGTTGGATTCTTTTAAAATATTAATTATATAATTTATTGTATAATTAATTTTCTTATCCCAATTTATGTATGCATTTTTTTTAATCTGTCTTAAAAAAAATGATATTTCTTATGTTTAGAAAGAATTTTACCATCTAATTTTGAGCTTAATGAGATCATTAATAATTACACAAATATTTACTGCTTGTTATAAACTACAAGTTTGAAAATTCTTTGGTTATAAATTTCGGGCATAGTCAAATTAAATTGCATCACAATGTAAATATCTTTAACGATACAACTCAATAATAAGTATATAATGAATTTTTGGAGAGCATGAAGGGGCGTCATGTCCAGCATAACTTCAACGGCAGGCATGAGGATGGAAGAGTGGTCGTGAACATGTTGAACCTCTAAAAAACTTTAAAAAAATTCTGAACCCTTATTTTGTCCCACAAAATTCTCTTATTCTCCGCAATCCTCTCTTGTTTTATAAAGCTGCTAATGTCTTCACTCTTACGAATTCAAGGATCTCTATCTATTTACATACAACTCAATCCTCTCAATATTTTCCCTTCCGTTTTTCTCCTATCTAATTTGTAGAGATCCTTAATTTTCTTCCTCGTTGCACGACATCATGGTATTCTTCTTCCTCTCTCAGCTTTTACCTTTTCAAGACCCTTTTAATTTGTACACATTATACATCATATTTGTTTTCTTTTGCTTTCACGATGTTGACGATGTTGCATAATGTTCCCAGCTAGTGTTTTGATCATCTTCTACGTAAAAAGCTTCTAATAATATATAATGCCTAGTTTGATATTTCTCAAAGCTGCATTTTGGAACTTGGAAGATGAAAATGGAATTTGAAAGGAAATAACCTAAAAGTGAATGCTGTGATTAAAGTAGAGGAAATAGACTAGTCCTTTTGTTATCCATTTGCCATATTTCTGGCCTTGAAAAAGGGAACTGCTTAGTTAGTTGCATGCCCTTCTTTGGTTTTAATGGATTTGCTATGCTACGCTTATTGCTTATTATTTTATTTTTTTTATAAACACATGGTATATGCATATTTACTTAAGAATTTACTGCATGAGGGGATATCGGTGCGGCCGGCCTACGTGAATGCGGGATGTTTTTGTGCATTGGATTGCCCTTATTTTTTTTCTTTTCATTTTTCTTCATGTCATAAAATTTTTGTTGGACAGGCAAATGCTGCGTCTGGAATGGCTGTGCTAGACGAGTGTAAGCTGAAGTTCTTGGAATTAAAAGCAAAGAGAAACTACAGGTTCATAGTATTCAAGATTGAGGGCCAACAAGTCGTTGTGGAGAAGCTTGGAAATCCTGAGGAAAACTATGATGATTTCACTAACTCTCTGCCTGCCGATGAGTGCCGCTATGCTGTCTTTGATTTAGACTTCATAACTACTGAAAATTGCCAGAAAAGCAAGATTTTCTTCATTGCTTGGTACAATATAATTATTTAGCTAACTCAAATTTGACATCACCCGCATTGTCTTGTCCTGTTTCTAGCAATATACATCACCTGCCTTAATTAGCTTCTCTCTGATAATTTTTTAACATGGATTTTAGGTCACCTGACACATCAAAGGTGAGGATGAAGATGGTGTATGCAAGCTCAAAGGATAGATTCAAGAGAGAACTTGATGGAATTCAAGTCGAATTGCAAGCAACGGATCCCAGTGAAATGAGCTTTGACATTATAAAGTCACGAGCACTTTGAATCTCAGCTTAATTACCTACTCCAGCCTCCTTTCAACGCAGTTGAATTCCACTGTTGTATTATTTCCTTTTAATTTACTATTATCTCTGGTTGTGTTCAAATCATATACTTGATTAATAAAAACACGAAGTACTAATAGGCTATAAGTAGGGCAAAGGCCTTGAGAGATTAATGGAAGGTTATCTTAGCAAGTTATTACTTATTTACTTATCAAAGGAATCTCCCTCTATAGAGATTTGTATTTGAGAGGGAGCTTTGCTTAGGTAAGTTCCTTCAGTCAACTTCATTTAAAGTGAGCTTTAGATAAGTAAATATTCCGGTATGGATTTCATCTAGTATTGTGATGTAATACTATGTACTTTACTGTGTAATCCGTGTGTTGCGGCAATATACTAGCGTGTATGTCAATTCGATGCATTTTACAGAACCAACATATTAATTCTTTTATTCAACTATGTATTTGATCAAATAGTGCACTAGAAGAGTAGAGTTAGGTACTATTTTTGGTATATAAACATATTGACATTCGTTTTTGTGAGTTAACTTCTGTGAAAAATCTGGGTCCCCACGGTTGGTTCATATACAAACAGCCACACTAAGATATGACATAATTCAACGAAAGTAAATATACAAAAGAGATAGATACATCATACACATAACAGATCCAATCCAGTTCAGAACAACATCAGATCTCATTATCTAATTAGATGTGCTCAAACAAGCAGAATACCAAACAAAGAAAGAGGCAACCAGCATATATTTGAACAGAGGGATCAGTAGCAAACATACAAAGCACTTAATTACCATCTGAGACGGTAGAAGTCTGTGCTGCTGGTTTTCCAGTACCTTTGCCAAACCACGAACTAGCAACACCTTTAATCCTACCTACAATACTCTTTCCTGAACCTTCAGCAGCAGCAATCCCATGTTCATCTGTAGGTCCAGCTGTTTGTTTGGTTACTTCCTCTGATACCTTTACCTTCCCTGTTGGCTTTGCCTCCTCCTCCTGATCTGTTCCCTCTGTTTTATCCTTATGTTTTGAAAGTGTGCCTGCGATCACCTCAGAAAGTGCCTTATCTTCTTCTCCGGGCTTAAATTTCTCTGCCAAGTACTTCTTCATTGACACTCCTTTATAATTATCAGTTGCTTTACTCTTCCCCTCTTCTTCCCCTGCTCCTTTCTCTGCCCTTATTCCTTCATTCACACTCATTTTCTCGAATGACTGAACTAGTGGAGTAGTTCCCGCCTCCTCCCTATCTATTACACACGCATAATATTTCAAAAAACAAAAAAAAATATCAAGTTTTAGGTAATCCAAAGGCACACCCTCCATAATACATATTCCCTATTGCATCCGTCCTACCTCTCTCAATTCACTTTTTAGTCCATCTAAAAAAGAATTGGAATTGTCACTTTTATGTACTTAGAAATAATAAACTTTACAAACTCTATTTCAAATTTCTGAAAACTTGTAGACTGTGACATGATATCAAATTTGAGATCAGTCAAAGAGAAACTTACTGGCGCCTGTAGGATCAGTGACTTTGCTCTGATAATTAGAAGAAGATTTGTCCTCAGGACGATCTTTTGGTGCATTAGGGTCATCGTCTAACACTGTTGGTAGTCCTATTTTGGTTCCCTGCGCTCCTTCATCTTCTACTTTCCCTTGGCCGTGAACCGGATTTTTACCATCTCTTTCATCCCCTGCAATATATCACAAGTCACGAGACAAAATTAACTGGGGATAAGTTGTTACAGATTTTAGAGTATTATTATTCCCAAAGAAATTTTTCTTTATTACAATTAATATTTTGAATCCTTAATTATGTATAACTTTTAATACTTTTTATATAGTTTTAAATATGTAAATTCTATTTTAAGAAATTTGCAAATGCATCACCTGAGTGGTGAGTAACATCTTCATAAGCATGGCCACTGCGTTGTTGTGCCTCCATAGTTAAAGCTCAAAAGAGGTAAACGTGTTCTGCAGAATTATATTAGTGACTGCTTGGTTGCGTAGTTAGGAAAAGAACAACTCGCAGTTATATATATATATATATATATGCATATATATATATATATAAAGAGAAGACGAAAGAGTAAGGTTTATAGGGGGGGACGGAGCTATTGGACTTTTTTTATTGCATGGGGGTGGCGCTCTGAGAGCGAAACACGTTATGACTTTAGGGGACACTACTAGGGACGTGGCCTTCTATGCCAAAGTTATTGGCCTTTCCCAAGGAAATTAGACAAGTCCCCCTTCTTATCTTCTATGACCATTAAATATTCAATTCATTTAATTGTTTTTGTTTTTTGAGATATTATTAATGGTAGAGATGGAAGATTTTATGAATTTTACTTTTAAAACTTTTTTCTAGTTAAGTCACTACATACAATTGAAAAAATTAATTTTTTATTCTTATTGAGCATATATATTAAAGTATTTTCTTTTACTTGTATAATTTTAGAGGTAGAGGGACGCTTAAAAAGTATTGGGGAAAAGTGATCAAGCAAGATATGGCGTGGCTTCAGATTTCTGAGGACACGCCCTTTGATAGGAAGGTGTGGAGATCGAGCATTAATTAGGGTTGTAACTTAGGAGGTAGTTGAGCATTTTTCTACTTCGTTCCGGGTGTGAGGATAGACTGATAGGGTTTGTCTTAGATTGCTAGTGGTTAATGTTGTGTTCACACTATTCTCCTGTTTCTCTTTACTGGTTATTGTTATTGCGTTTCAACTATTTTCTGGTTCTTATAATATTATTATTATTATTTTTATGGTTTCTATTGATGGTACTGATATATTGTCTTTTTCATCTTTTTCGTTTTCTTGAGTCGAGGGTCTATCGGAAACAAACTCTCTACTCTATCGGGATAGGGATAAGGTCTGCTTACATACTACCCTCCCAAAACTCTTACCTGTAGAATTTTACTAGATTGTTATTGTTGTTATAATAACTTTCTAAAGATTAGGTTTATTAACAATTTGAAAGTTCTTAGATTTTATATAGAATTGTTTCTTTAAATCTTTTTTCGTTTTATATTATAAAAAGAAAATTTTAGACATTGTACCTTGTCAAAATTGTGGTGTATATGAAGTGAAGACATTGTATGTACCAAATTTAAACTTGCTACTACAATTTTTCATTTTGGCATACCATTGTTGCGGGTGCTAATCGATACTTATTAAAAACATTTTGTGGAGATGTATTTGGTAAAAATTTCACGGGGCGCTTTATTTGATCACCCCCATTTAATCTATATTCACTTTTTAAAAACGTTTTAACTTATACCCACTTTTTAAATAATTTCAGGTATTTTTCTCCTTCTCCTTCTCCTTCTCCTCCTTCGTTTTCTTCTTCTTCTTCTTCTTCTTCTTCTTTGAATAATAATAATTTTATATGGTGGTTGTGAACATATATTAATGTAGTTTATGATTGTGATGACCTAAAATGTCATCTTTAAATTTAATAAGTAATTATGTATTCTAAAACCTCAAAAAGTACCATTTATCATTTCTCGGCTTGCGTGCGCAGTCCATATAATTTTTCGAAAAGTTTTTATGTGAAAAATGGATTAAAATGTGAAATAGAGCTTTAAAACTCAACTGAGTTGACTTTGGTCAATATTTTGAGCAAACGGACCCGGATCAGTATTTTGACAATTCCGATAGGTCCGTATCGTGATTTGGGACTTGGGAGTATGCCCGCAATCGAATTCTGAGGTCCCTAGCCCGAGATATAGAATTTTGATAAAAAATTAAAAGTTTGAAAGCTTAAAGATTTTTAAGAAATTACTGATGTTGGATTTATTGACCCCAGTTCCGTATTTTGGTTTCGAAACCCGGTATAGGTCCACTATAATATTTATGACTTGTCTGCCGAATTTGGTGAGAATCGGAGTTGATTTGACGTGATTCGAACGTTCGGTTGTAAAAATATAAGTTTTAAAGTTTTCTTGAAAATTTTCTTTCATTTGGTGTACGATCCATGGTTCTAGGTGTTATGTTGGTGATTTGATCGCGCGAGCAAGTTCGTATGATATTTTAGGACTTGTGGGCATGTTTGGTTTGGAGCCCCGAGGGATCGGGTGAGTTTCGGATGCTCAACAGGCCATTTTGGACTTAAGGAAGATGGCAGATTTCTGGTGTTCTGTTTGCAGAATGTTTACTCATCGCGACAGCGTGAAGTCGTTCGCGATCGCGTAAGGCAAACTGAGAGGCCAACCAAAGTTGCTCTTCGCATTCACGAATTTGAGGCTGCGATCGCATAGGGGCGTGAAGTGGTGCTTCGCGAACGCGTGGACAAGGTCACGTTCGCGTAAAGTTAAAGAGGCTAAAGTTGAGCCACGCGCTTTACTCATCGCGATCGCGTGAGGTTGTTCACGATCGCGTAAGTCTATGAGTCAAAGCATCGCGTTCGCGTGGCGTTTTACGTATTCGCGTTAAGTAAAATTCTGGGGCAGCAAAGTAGTGATTCGCGATCGCGAGGCTATTCATGCGATCACGATTAAGAAAAATTGAGCAGCAAAAAATGTGCTTCGCGATCGCGAAGAATTGTATGCGATCGCGTAAGGTAAAATTTGGGCGAACAGAACATAAGTTCTGGAAATGGGGTTTCGGCCCATTTTCAACCATTTTCAATTTTTTAGCACGGGTAAGGCGATTCTTGGGCGATTTTTATGGGAAAACATTGGGGTAAGTGTTCCTTATCCTATATTGATTATATTTCATGATTTCATACTTATTTATATCATGAATCCGTGAATTTATGGAAGAAAAATCAGATTTTTATAAAATCATCCAAAAACGAAAATTTAAGATTTGAAGGTCCATTTGATATCGGAATTGGATAATTTTTGTAAGATCGAACTCGTAGCGGAACGGGTGTTCGTATTTCGTGAGTTTTTCCGGGATTTGAGACGTGGGTCCTATTGTCGAATATTTAAATAAATTTTGGATTTTTATCCGCAAAATTTATAAATTCATATGGAATTAATTCCTATGATTCGTATTGAGTATATTAAATTATTTATGAATAGATTTGAAGTTTTTGGAGATAAATTTAAAAGGAAAAGTTGTGGTCGAGTAATTGATTGAAATTTGTAAAGCGAGGTATATATCGTGGTTAACCTTGACTTGAGGGAATAGAACCCTTAAACTATTTGTTATGTGAAATGCATGTGAACGACGTATATGCGAGGTGACGAGTGTCTATACGTCGTCAAATTAATTATTTGCATAATTACTTGAAAAATCATACATCATTTTAAATCATGAATTAATTATTATAATAATTATTTCTTTCCTATTTTTTGTCAAATATTAATTCTTGAATTTCTGCATTAATTGTTACATGTTATTTGAATTATGTGTCTTAATTGTTATTTGACATTTAGCATATTAAATATTAAACTTCCTATTTTCTCCCTGATTTCCATAATAATTTGCTATTTGTCATTGTTTGTTTCATAATTAAATCATAATTATTGTATGCTTGTTGTCTTATAATTTTATATTAATTATTGTATTTATTTGAAAATTTTCTTCTATAAGAATTGGTAAATCAATATGTTGGAGGATCGGGTTGCATGCCGCAACAGACTTATTTAAAGTCCATATTGGAGGATCGGGTTGCACGCCGCAATAGACTTATTTAAAATTCAATATTGGGGGATCGGGTTGCACGCCGCAACAAACTTATTTAAAAGTATATATATACTTGATTGAAATAAATATATGACAGACTTGAGTAAAATGAATATATTGTGAGAGCGGGTTGCACGCTGCAACAGAATTGAATGTGAATATATTGTGAGAGCGGGTTGCACGCTGCAACAGAATTGATAGAAATGATAATTGGTTATGACTGCTGAATTGGCTTCAATTATTATAAATGAGTTACCTGATTTATTTCTATTATTGTTGTTGTTACTAATAATGCGTACAAGTAATGTAAGTGACCCGCCTTAGCCTTGTCACTACTTCGTCGAGGTTAGGCTCAGCACTTACCAGTACATGGGGTCGGTTGTACTGATACTACATTCTGCACTTCTTGTGCAGATTTTGGAGTTGGTCCCAGCGGCGTACCATAGACTTATTCGGATTTCAGCTACTCAGAGGAGACTTGAGGTATAACTGCACGACGTCCGCAGTTCTAAAGTCCCTGTCTGCTTTACTTTAGTTGTGTGTTTATTTTCAGACAATTTTATTTTATTGAGACCCTTATTTGTATTATTCTAGAAGCTCGTGCACTTGTGACACCAAATTCTGGGATGGTATTTAGACACCGTTATTTTTTATGGATTATTCACTATATTTTAGACTTTACTTCCGCAATCATTCTTTGTTATTAATAAATTTAAAATTTGTTTTAAAAATGGATAATATTATTCTAACGTTGGCTTGCCTAGAAAGTGAAATGTTAGGCGCCATCACGGTCCGATGGTGGGAATTTTGGGTCGTGACAATTGGTATCAGAGCACTAGGTTACATAGGTCTTACGAGTCACGAGCAAGCTTAGTAGAGTCTGAAGGATCGGTACGGAGATGTCTGTACTTATCTCTCAGAGGCTATGGAGTTTAGGAACAATTTCACTTCTATTCTACTATGTCGTGAGATTTTATTCTATCATTGACGATTGAACTCTTCTATTCTTGTCCTTTCGCAAATGGAGAGAACACGCACTTCGTCTACAACCGGACAAGAGCTAGAGCCCCCAGTGACTGCTACGACTAGGGGCAAAGGCTGAGGCCGAAGTCCCGCCAGAGGAAGAGGTGGAGCTCAGTCTAGAGCAGCTGCACCTATTGTAGAACCTCAGGTGGATCTTCAGGAGGAGGTTCCAGTTCAGAATGTACTAGTTGGACTAGTTCAGGTCCCGGAAGGATTCATAGTCACTACAGTACTTCAAGACGCTCTAGTTCGTTTGGTAAGTCTTATGGAGGGCGTGGCCTAGAATGGTACATTTCCAGTGGCACCAGCCGTCTCACAGGCTGGGGGAGGAGCACAAACTCCGACTACTCCCGCTCCGGAGCAGATGGCTCCCCAGAATCAG